GTTCCAACCTCAAAGAATGTCTAGATCCAACACCTGCTCACATCTTAATCCCAACTCCTCATCCAAGCAACCAGCATGGCTCGGTGCGCAGTGACTTTGTCCATTGTGTTGGTTGCTGTATCTCTTGTGCCTAGAATGGCGCTTGTCACATGGTAGGCCATCAGTAAGTATTTGTTGATTAAGTTTTTTTTGAAGATTTTATTTATTTATTCATGAGAGACACAGAGAAAGAGAGAGGCAGAGACACAGGCAGAGGGAGAAGCAGGCTCCATGCAGGGAGCCACATGTGGGACTCGATCCTGGGTCTCCAGGATCACGCCCTGGGCCAAAGGTGGTGCTAAACCACTGAGCCACTGGGGCTGCCCTATTTGATTAAGTTATTGGATGCCTTAGAGTTTGCTATGCCCTGAAGACACCGAAATGATCGTGTTTCCTGATAAACCAATCATTTCACAACGATGAGAATAATAATAACATTATTATTATTATAACATTATTATTATTATTAAATATATTATAATAATAACAATTCAGCATTTTCTGAATACACAGCATGGGCCAGGCCCCTTACATGTGTCAGGAAGGTGCTAGATGCGAGGAATGAGAGAAGTAGGAAACTGTCCAAGGCCAAACATCTCATGGTTCCTGGAGTAGGTACTTCAAACACGTTCATTTATTCAACTCATCAGCTCTTGGTTGGGCACCAGCTATTTGGCAGATATTGTTTTGGGAGAAGAAGATAGACAAATTTCTTACTCTAACAGAGCTTATAATCTAGTAGGGAGGGAACACAAGAGACAAAATGGACATGTAGGACCAGTGCTACAAGAAAGCAAGGAAACAAGGGGTGATGGGGGAAGCTCTCTAAGGTAGGATGGCCAGGAAAGAGATCTTTGGCGGGATCCCTGGGTGGCTCAGTGGTTTAGCACCTGCCTTCAGCCCAGGGCGTGATCCTGGAGACCTGGGATTGAGTCCCACGTTGGGCTCCCTGCATGGAGCCTGCTTCTCCCTCTGCCTGTGTCTCTGCCTCTCTCTCTCTCTCTCTCTCTCTCTCTCTCTCTTTCTGGGTCTCTCATGAATAGATAAATAAATTAAAAACATTTTTTTAAAAGAAAGAGCTCTTTGGGAAAATGGCATTTGAGCAGATACCTGGAATGAAGTGACAGATGAGCCATACAAATATGTGGGAAAAGAGCAAAGACCTCAAAATAAGCAACCTTTGGGATGTTTGGGTGGCAGCAAGGAAGCTAGTGTGGCCAGAACCCGGAAAGTAAAGGGCAGACTCTTTGGAGATTAGGTCAAAATCTTTGGAGGGGTGCCAAAGGGACCTTGAAGGACAGTGGAAGGCTTTGGCTTTACCCTAAGTAAAGTGGGAAGCTGTTAGCAGACTAGAGCAGAGGAAGGATATAGTCTGGCTTAGGCTGTGATAGGATCACTCTGGCTGATGTGTGGAGAAGGGCCTGGACAGGGGACAAGAGTGGACACAGAGAGATGAGGCTCAAAGTTTCTCTTGGCCAGGCAATGGCACCCCGTTGTTTAGTCTGGATGTTGCCATGAAGGTAGCTTTTCAGATGTGATTGACATTTACAATCAGCAGACTTTGGGTGAATCATGGGGATGGGCTTCATCCAGTTGGGTGAAGGCCTTAAGAGCAAAGACTGAGGTTTCCCAAGAAGGAGAAATCTGCCCAAAGATTGCAACATAGAGACCCTCTCTGCGTTTGCCACCTGCTGGCCTGTCCTTACCGGTCTCCGACTCAAGACTCCAACATCAACATCTGAAGTTCCAGACCAGCGGTCTGCAGTCTGCCCCACAGACTTCAGGCTTGCCAGCCCCACAATTAAATAAGCCAGTTTATTAAAATAAATCTAGATAGACAGACATAGATTAGATGATTGATAGCTAGATGATTGGCAGGTAGGTAGAAAGAAGGAAGAAAGGAAGGATGAGATATGAATCATATATACATAAAATAGGATAGGATATATATATATATATATATATGTATGTATGTATTCGATGTTGGTTCTGTTTCTCTGGAAAATCCTAATACACTATTGTAATAATTTGTGAGACTAATGATTAGTGATGAGAACTCGGACCTATAGGTAGCAGTGAAAATGATGAGTCATGGTTAGAGTCTAGAAATATTTTTAAGGTAGAGCCAATTGGATTTGCTGATGAATTGAATTTGGCAAATTAAAAAAAAAAAAGGCATCAAGGTTGACTCTCAGATTTTTGGCCTAAGCAACTGGGTGACTGGTAGTACCATTGACTGTAATGGGAGATACTGGGCTGGTGAATGGAGGAGTCTGGACCTGAGGAGACAGGTCAGGTTAAGGGGAGAATCGAGAACCAGTGGGCACTGAAGTCCCTGAGATGGAAAAAGATCTCTGGTGACCAGACCCAGGACTGAGCCCTGGAGGCCCTGGAGCATTCTGAAGTCTAGAGTTCAAAGAGGGAAGGAACAACCAACAAAGGAGCCTCAGGAGATGAGCCAATGAGATCGGGGAGCGTGGGTCCCAGAAGGCAAGTGGAGAAGATGCTTTGTTCCCAGAGAGACAGAGTGGTCAGCTGTGACAAATACTGCTAGGGAGGTGGTCCATTTAGGGGCAGGGAGGGTCACAGGTTCTGGGACACCAGCGGTGCGGGGGGAACCCAGTTTGGAGAGAGGAGCGCCCGAACACACACACACAGGTGAACTGTCACTCTGCCGTGGCGTTTGAAGCTTCTACACAGAGACCAGAGTCACTTCCCATGTCCCTGAAGAAGGAAGTGCCCTGAGAAATGTCAGGGGACCCCAGCTGAACGGGGGTGGCAGCATGGGTTTACGTCTGTGCCAGTTAGTTTTGATGGATGGTGGGTCATTCAGAGAGCGATTGGGAGGAGCTGGGCTGAAATATGAATTTGAGTCATGTTAGACAGGGAAGTCACAACTTGTTCCCAGGAAAAGAGTAACACATGGCTTCCTGGCTGGAAGAGCTGGAAGGGCCTCCAGATTTGTTCCTCACCCTTCCTGTGGGGCGAGTGGGGCTGAGCTCGCTCTGGTTGAAAGAGTGAGGATTTGGGAGCCAAAGATCAGAACTGATCCAGCTGTGGGTTCAGAGATGGGGCCTGTCACGGAGGAGAGGCAGAGGCACCACCACTGACTACGTGGCCGCCGTGGACCAGACGCCAGCTGGAAAGGGGTCAGCTTGGGGCCAGGGAGAGTCACAGGTGCCCCTGGGATGGGACTGGCCAGTCTCTCCTCACAACAGCCACTATGACAATGTTCATTATTTCCTCTACTTACTGATGAAACAGAAGCTCAGAGAAGCTGAGTAAGGAACCCAAAGTCACATGGTTGAGAAGCACTGAGATCTTCTTGCCTCCAGGGCCCATGTTCCTTTTTCTAGAACCCAGTCAGCTGAGCAGATGCAAGAATTCCAGAGATAAAGCCTGCTGCCCCCTCGTATGCACATAGCACTTGACCTTTTCAGGCCTTGGGTTTCTCATCCGGAAAATGGGAGACAATATAGGGTTAGATGGAATGACGCGCACAAACCAGCCCTGAGCCTGGCTCTTGGTGAATGTTCCCAAAATGAAAGCTATTATTGTTACTGATGAGTATTTTCAGTTTACAAATGAAAAACCCATGTAAGAGTCCATTGGTTCCTTCACATCCTAAAGAGTAAAGGCTGAAGTCTGGACCCCCAGCAAGACACAGGAGAGGCCAGAGCTCACCCAAGCCCTTTTCCATCCCAACCTAAGATACGGAAAAGGGGGAGATGGGCATGTCAGGCCGCTGGAATGCCCCAGCAAAAGCATGGGCAAAGAGGGCATCAGGGCGTGTGACAACATCACATTTTAGCGACAAATTGGAGACTGAGCCTTAAATAGTGGGCCTAGCTGAGCCACCTGGGCTTCAATCCGATGTCACACAGCATGCCCCCTGTCCGGCAGAGGTGAGCCCAGGCTCCAGCTCTGTTTACAGCTGCCTGGTGGCAGTGGTGAAACGCCCTTGTGGACTCTGCCCTCTTCTCTCCGACTAACTGACGCTCGGCCCCAAGGGGTAGGGGGGTTAAGGAGTGGCGGGAGCTCCTATTACCCAGGAACTAAAGTGGGCCCGGCCCCACCATCCCCACAGTGACCTCATTATGGGAGATGCTGTCATTGTGCCCATTTGATGGAAGAGCAAAACAGGCTCCATGAGAGTTGGTGTGACTTGTCCAGACTCACACAGCGGCGGCGGGACCAGGATTTGAGCCTCGGTCCATCTGTCCCCAAGGCTGGCATGCTTTCCTCTTCCTCCAAGCCGACAGCCTGCTGGGTTAGGTGACTGGCAGGTGAGATGGGGCAAACACAGCCTGAGGGTACCCAAGCACCATTTGGAAGTGGCAGAGAGGCAGGCTGAAGGCCTGGATAGGGCCCCGTCAGAAGGATGAGCTTTAAACTGGGAGGCGGAGGAGGAGACACAAGGGTCCAGAAACACAGAGAGCCCTGAGGTCAGCCCTGTGTCTGCCCACCGTGCCCCGGACCAGCCTGTCTGTCTACATCCTTCAGCCAGAGAAAGGACAGGGGCCGGCCTGAGTGAAACAGGGGCCAACACTTGGGTCCCGGCACTGCCACCGACTAGCCTGGTGACCGGGGCCAAGTTTCTTTACTTCTTGAGCCTCACTTTCCCTGTCTGAATGGTCTCTCCATCATCCCACTTGAATGGGTGTATTATGGAGCTAAGGGCAGTGGCGTGTCCAAGGCCCTCCCACAGAGCACCCCCGACAGGTGCCTGCCACACAGTGTCCCATCCCTAGGTGCGCTGGGCCTCCCTGCCCTTATCACCCCCAGCCCCTTTCCTGGGAATGGGCTCCTGGCTTGTCAGAAAGACAGTCAGCTATCAACCCCACCCCGGCTGGCCAGTTAATGAGTGACCAGGGCACTGGAGCCCGGCCTATAAAGAGCTCCTCACCAGGAAGGCAGATGGGAGCCCGTGGACGGTGGCTGTGGGATACAGACAGAGCAAGATGCGCAGCAGGATGGTGTCAGGGCTCCTGTCCCGGGTGGCTGTGGTCCACCTGCTGCTGCTGCTGCTGCTGCAGGACACACAGTCAGTCTACATTCAGGTGAGTCCCTCTGGCCACTGAGCCCTTTGCCTGAAGTGAGAGGCTGGGGTGGAGAGGGGATGCTAGGAAATTCATGGGCTACGGGGGAGCCCAGGGCTCACCCCAACACCGAATCACCCCAGGGACCAAGACAGCGGGTGGGTGGGGGCGGCCAGAGTGCCGATGGTGATGACGATGGTGATGATAGTGATAATAAACCACCGCTAGTCAGCATTGCTCTCTCAGAAGGCAGGTCCTGGTCAGAGGTCAGAAGGTGGAACAAGATGCAGTCCCTGCCCTTGAGGAGCCCGAAGGAGAGGGGTCTCCCCACAGCTCTCTATATTCACCCCATGTACGGGTGGATGGGGGATAGTCACCAGAAAGTTTCCCTGGCGGGTAACCGAGCTGACGTTGCAGGATGAGCAGGAGAGCCAGCCTCCGAGGACGTGGGCTGCTCCAGGCAGAGGGCACAGCGTGTACCGAGGCTCCTTCCAAGACGATGTGAAGCTGGAAGGAGTCACGGAAGCGGGGCCTGCCTGCAGGGTGGCAGGATGCCCCTGGGCAGCGAGGATGGGGAAGTCTGTGGCCCTGGGTGTCCGTCCCATTCCTGACTCTGGGTGAAGCCTCCCTGTGGGGGGTGGAGGAGAGTCAGCTTCCCCTGCAGCCCCGGCCTGGGAACCGGCCAGCTTGGGGTTGGGCATTTTGTCATGTCAGTTCAGGGGGGATCACCCAGTTACTGAGTGTAGACCGACTGTGTGCCCTGCAGCAGCAGCAGCAGGAGGACCACAGCCATCCCGGGCAGGAGCCCTGGCACCCAGTTACCCAGTGGCGATCATCCAGTGTGGCCTGGGTGCCAGGCGCTAGGGAGGCGTCATTTGTCAGATGAGACTCAGAGTGTGGGACATACAGGTGCCAGCTGGGAAGAGCTGGGATGTGAACCGGGGTTCCACGGGTCTCCAAAGCCCATACCTTGACCCACTCTCCGCAGCGTCGCTGCGACCTCGTTTACAGGCGGGGGCCTGTGGTGCGCTGGGGTGCGAGGTGCCAGGCACCAGCTCCCACCTGTCCTTTGAGTGTGGCCTGGACCCTCCGTAAGAAGAGGGAAGGCTCTGTGGGGTGCGCGGCGTCCTGGCCCGGGTCTGGATGCCATCTCATCTCCTCCCCCCTCCGGCCCCCTAGCACCAAGGCTTCCAGGTCCAGCTGGAATCAGTGAAGAGGTTGAGTGACCTGCAGGGGACGTGGGTGCCCAGCCCCCGCCTCCAGACCCAGAACCTCGTGCCCCCCGAGTGTCACCACCCGGCCCTGCCAACGGACCTCCAGCCCATCTGCACGACCAGGGAAGCTGCCAGCATCTTCAAGGCCTTGAGTGAGTATCCCCACCCCTACCAGCGTCCTGGCCCTCGCTCTCTGTCCTCCCCGCACTCCAGCTCCTCCACTTCTCGTGCTCTCTAGTAAGGCCCCAGGGGACAGGAGGGTCACGAAGCTCAGCCCGTGGCCTGCCCTGTTTGGGCACCGCACCCCACCCCAGCCCCCAGCGCCCCAGACCCTTGGTGGTCCTGGCGGACTTCCCAGATGGGAGGGAAGGGGACGCCGGACAACGGACCTGTAAGCAGGGACTACACTACAGTGGGGGGCAGGGGGGCACGGAGTCTGGGAGGCTCCCAAGAGGAGGTGACATCTGAGCTGAAACATGAGGGAGGGAGCAGAGCCGGCCAGCGAATGTGGCCACTGACTGAGCACCCCCAGGTGCCTCCTCTCCTCACCACCCGTCAGCTGATACCGTCCATAGAACCCTCGGGAAAACTCGGGCCTGCCCGCCCCAGGAAGGAGAGGCCCGGGACCTGAACCCCTGCCTGTTGAGAAGACGCCTCCCCTCAGGCCCCCCTTCCTGACGGCTCCTCTCTCCCGCCCAGAGGCCATCGCCAGCGACGACTGTGAGCTGTGCGTGAACGTTGCCTGCACCGGCTGCCTCTGAGGGGGCCGCTGCCCCGAGCACCCCGTGGCCCCGGGGCTCCCGGGGTCATCGTCACCCAGCCGAGGCCCGAGCTGCCGGATGCGGAGCCGTGGGACACGTGGCTGGAGGGGCGTCTGGCCCCTGAGGAGGCCCTGCTGCCCAATAAAGATCCCCCACCTACCTACGCCCCGAGTCTGGCATCTGTTTGTCCGCCCGGCGGCCGTGGGCACAGCTGCCTGGGAGGCCCAGGTGCCTGGGAGAAAGGTTGATCCCCTCAGGCTGCCGGGAGTTTCCCAGGCTATTTCCTAGAGGAGGGGGGAGCTGGGCATGGAATGAGCCCCCCCAAATCCCAGGGCGCAGGGAGGGCGGGGAGCTGCCCCGGGGGTGGGGCCGCAGGGCTGGGTGGGTGCAGGGAAGAACCGGCCGCGCCCTCTCCCCAGGGTGGGTGCCTGCTGCCTCTGCCCTGGGGCTCCCGGGGGCCTGGGCCTTCACCCTTTACCTTCATCAGCTCCCCCTTCTCAGGCCCCCCAGGACCGTCTGTCCAGCTCCAGATGGGAGCCCCCGCCCCCCAGCCTGGAGGCCCGAGCATCATAATAGAGCCGCGTCTAGGGAGCATTGGCTACAGCTGAGGCACTGTTCTAAACTCACAGAGTCCTGGAAACAGGCTGGTGAAGTGGGACTAGTTACTAGTTACTAGTTACTAGTAACTAGTTACATTAGAAGTGTTGTTAATAGGGCAGCCCCCCGGGGGGGGGGCCTCAGCGGCTTAGCACCGCCTTCAGCCCAGGGCCTGATCCTGGAGTCTGGGGACCCAGTCCCACGTCAGGCTCCCCGCATGGGGCCTGCTTCTCCCTCTGCCTGTGTCTCTGCCTCTGTCTCTCTCCTCTGTGTATTCTCATGAATAAGTAAATAAAATCTTAAAAAAAGAAGTGTTGCTAATAAGCACTCCACAAACAAACAAGGAGACCCAGGGAGAGCGAGAGGACGGACTAGACCAGGACCACGGGCTCAGCCACAGCAGGCTTCCTCCCAGGCAGGGCCCCCCACGCTCCGAACCACCAGCCCCATGGAGGACACCTAGCAGAGGGGGCTCCGGGTTCTCGAAGCTGCGGCCAGCTCCTGGGCCTGTCCGCGGGGTGGGCTCGTCCACAGCCCCTGTCCCGGGCAGCCAGAGAAGAGAGCCAGGCGCAAAGGGGCTGTGCTCCCCGAACTCAGCTCACCAGGGCCAAGGCCATAGTGAACCCCCCCAGGCCAGCTGCCCCCCTACAACTGCCCAGCTCTGCTGGTGAGCCCTGCAGCCTCCCCCTCCCACAGGCCACAAGCCCCAGAGCTCTAGATCCTTCCTCTCCCTCACCCCACAGGCAAGGCTGGCTGAGGCCTTTGCAGTCCCTCCTGCGTCTCTCAGGCCCAACATGCCGGACAAAGACCGCAGCGCTGCTCTGACGGGGGCCCCTTACCCTGCTGTGGCTCCCCAGTGCCCCTCTCTCAAGTAGAAACTGAGCCCATGCACCATTGAGCCCCAGCTCCCACTGCCCCCTTCAGCTGCGCTGGGTCTCCACCTGCCTGGGGAGGAGGCGGTGAAGGGAACTGCCTCTGACCAGCACCTGCTCGGTGCCAGACTCAGGGTGAGCAGGGGCACAGGACCCATAAGAGCAGCACCAGCAGAGCACCCGCTACGGGGCCCCAGGAGCTTCTCCTGTTTTACCTTGGCTCAATCCTGCAAAGTGGGGATTCTTGTCATCCCTGTTTTACAGACGAGGAGGCTGAGGACTGGCTGCAGCCGGTGACAGGCTGTGCGGAGCCAGGATCCACACCCAGACTCCAGCCCCAGAGTGCGAGCAGTAAAGGACCCTGCCCCACCTGCGTCTCCCCAAACCCCCTGCAGCCCAGGGCGCTGCTGGGCTCTGTCAGGATCCCCATTGTCAGATGAAACCAAGTGGCACAGAGGGCTTCACAACTTGTGAGTGACATGGCCACGTGCAAACCCAGCCCTGTGTGCCTCCCGGGACCACCCTGTCCAGACCGGACCCCCCAGGGCCTCAGGCCTTCCCGCCTCTGTGTCTGCACCTACTCCACCTTCCAGAAAGCCCTCTGCCTCCTGCCCTCCAGACTGGCTTGTGATGTCCATGCCAGGCCCACAGCAATGGTGCAAAGGCCGGCCTCCCCTCCCACCTGCAAAGCCTCCCTGACCTGACCCTAAAGAGCCTCACCCGGCACTTCCCTGCCACCCAACTCCCTGAGGAATGCCTCTTTCCCGGTCCCCCTAACTTTGCTCACAGGCAGCCCTCTTAACGGCCTCGGCTTGAGCCTGGTTCCCAGCTTTGTTGGTTTTCACCATTTATTGAACTCCGTTCAGCCCCGGCCTGACCTCCTCCCGCACAGCATCCCCTATCGCGGGTTACCCCACCCCTCCGCGGGGCAGGTGCTATTGAACTCCCGAGTTTGGGGGGGGGGGCGGGGAGACTGAGGCACAGAGAGGGCAAGTGGCTTTCCCAGCACCGCACGGGATGCGGGAGCACTGAGGCTGGCCTGCGGAGCTGCAGCTTTCCCCGCGTGGGTGAGGGCCTCCCGCACCCACGGGCCCCGTTTCCCCACGACAGGCTTGCCCAGGCCCCGAAGCCCCCGTAGGGCAGAGGGCAGAGGCCTGCGGGGCCACGGCGGGTCAGGGTGCCCTCCCAGCACCCCGGACAGGGCGGGAGCGAGAAGACCCCTCCTGGGAGGGGAGGGGCATGTGATGAGGCCAAGGGAGCCCAGCCTTGGGGCCTCGGGAGGGGCTGACCTGCTGACCTGGGCGGGGGGCGGGCAGCCCTGGGACATGCAAAAGTGAAGCCGAGGTCTGCAGGCTGGGGGCCTCTGGGCCTGCGCGGGGTGGCAGCCCCCTCCCGGGGCGGGGTGCAGGGGCCTCCCGGGGCAGGGCAGGCACCCACCACGCCGGCGCCCAGCCCACCGGCGGAGGAGGAAGGAAGCGACACCAGGAGGACTCTGGGAACTGGTTTATTGGCGGCGGGTTGGAGGGATCCTCGGGGGACACCGGCAGCTCCTCGGATGGGCCAGGGCCCGGGGTCCCCAGGGCGCCCCAGGGCGCTCCCCCGGGCCCGGTGCTCCGAGCCGGCCGTCCTAGCACCCGGCGCAGGCGGCGAAGGCACAGATCTCGCACGACCTCGGGTCCTGGGCGATGGACGCTGCGCAGGAGACACGCGGCGCCGAGGGGGTCAGAGCCCCGCTCCCCCCGCGCCGGGGCCTGGACGGCCGCCGCCGGGACCCCTCCCGCCCCGCGGAGCGCTGAGGCCGCGCAGTGCCGGCCAATCACCGGGCGCAGCGAGGAGCGCAAAAGTAAGCTCCGCCAATCACAACCCGGACGGACTCCGGCAGGTCCGTCGGGCCCGCCAATCAGAGCACGCCTCCGCTCAGGGCGGCCAATCAGGGAGCTCCGCCCCGCCCCCTGCCCGGGGCTCACCCAGCCTGCCGAGGATCTCCGGGGCGTTGGGCTCCTTGCAGAGCGGCCTGAGCTCTTCGGGAAACTTCCGGTGGCTGCAGGCTGTGGGGAGCGCGGGGCCGCCACGCTTGCTGCTGCTCCGCATGCTGCGCTCCTGGAGCTCCCCGAGGGCCTTGAGCTTCTTCACTGACTCCAGAGGGAAGGAGAAGTCTCCGTCCTGAGAGACACGTGTCGGCGCGTGGGGCCGGGCTGCAGCCTGCCAGCCTGCCCCAGGGCTCCGCACCCTGCCCGACGACGCCCAACACCCAGGCCGCTGCTCTGGCCGAGAACGGGGCTGGGGAGTAAGGGCTAGAATGGGTTCTAGCTCCTTCACCTCCCAGCCGTGTGCCGAGGGAGGGCCTTCTCTGAGGCTCAGTTTTCCTCCTCCGAAAAATGGGACTGAGCATCCCCATTTTCCCAGGGTGACCATCAGGCTTCACGTGAGCAGCCTGGCTCGTGGCAGCCGCTCAAGAAATTGGCTAATCACGCCCCCCCCCCTTCTTTCCTAAATGGTTATTCCTCCTCTCTCCTCCAAGTGTGAAAGGGGAAAGGGGTGTGGACGGGACAGGTTCCTGAGAAAGAGCCACACTTGAGACATACCCTCTGCTCCATCCCCAAGGGGACAGGCCCTGGGCCTGGGCGCAGAGAGCCATCAGGGCCCAGGGAGGGACAGAGGATGTACCTGCACGGTGACTCCCTCTGCCAGGACAGCCCAGGCCCCAAGGAGGCACAGTGCAGAGAGCAGGAAGGTGTTCATGGCAGCAGTGGCCAAGAGGGAGGAGCAGTTGGTTCTGGATGCCAGAGGGAAACAGTGGGGCTTTTAACGAGGGCTGGGTTACTGAGTAACCTGGGAGCCTCGTCAGCACCTCATCGGCTTTCCCATCAACTGGGGCCTGATCAGATAAGGCTAAGACAGCCTTGCAGATAAGAGATCAGTCCCTGAGGCCGACAGAGTCCCAGCCCCGCCCTGGGCTCCCACTTTTCCCCACAGCCAGGCGAGGTCCCACACTCGTTTGCCAAGCACACACACTCACTGACCCCCGCTCCCGGGGTCCAGGCCCCGCACTGGGTAGGCCTGCACTGGGGTGGGCCTGCAGCCCCAGGCCAGCCCTTAAGGAGGGAGAGGGGTCCACACAGTGGCGATGCAGGGTGATCAGGTGAGAGGGGGGTGGTGGTGGGTGCGGGAGCCGCCTCATCCAGCCCAGGGCTTGGGAAGTTCAGGATGATTTCCCAAAGGAGGTTGTGTCAGCACTGAGTTCTGGAGAGTGGGTGGCATTTTCTTAGAAAAGGGGCGGGGGATAGGCCATTTCTTGCAGAGGATGCTCCACGTAGGACACCCAGGAGGGAAACAGGTCTGGAATATTCAGGAAAATGTGAGTAGTTCAGCCTTGGGAGGAGAGGGGGTTACAAGAGGGTTTCACATGATGAGAGATGAGCTGTAGGCCAAGGTAGGTACCAGGTTGGGCCACTATGACTTCGAGGAAGGGCTCAGCTCTGCTGTCCCGTGGGCCTGGGTTCAAGTCCTACCTGCTGCATGATTTTTTTTAGATTTTATTTATTTAGGGATGCCTGGGTGGCTCAGCGGTTGGGCGGCTGCCTTCGGCTCAGGTCGTGATCCCAGAATCCAGGATCGAGTCCCGCATGAGACTCCTGCAAACAGAAACAGCCTTCAGGACTCGATCCCGGGACTCTGGGATCACACCCAGAGCGGAAGGCAGATGCTCAACCACTGAGCCACCCAGGCGTCCCCCGTAGCATGATTTTAATGTGTGTGCACTTGGGCAAATTGTTTCTCCTCTCTGAGCCCCCGCACCCCTTGGGGGTATTAGTCAATTATTATTAGTCAATAATACTAATAACACCTACCTTGTGGCCTTATTCTGAAGATCAGATGATGTAAAAATGCTTCACTCAGTCCCTGGCACACAGAAAGCACTCAGTAAACGGTCATCCCGTTATTATTATTTTTATCACTAGCAGCAGCAGCTCCTGGCTGATGACCACCTGCCCATCTGAGCCACAGCCTGTCCTCATCCTGTGCTGACCCTGCCGGCCCGTCAGCCTCAGATTGTCCTAGAAAGAACTCTTCCCTCTCCCTCCCGATACCCTTGCCCCTGCTCCCCTAACCTCCCCTGTTTCTGTCTTCCGACTACCCGTCCCATGTGTGCTCCCCCTTCTGCTCCCCTTCTTCCCCTACTAGAGCAGCGTAATCCCCCAACCCTGACCTTTCTTACCAGGCTCACCTCGCCCACCCTTCCTGAACATGCCTCCCTGCCTTTGAACAGGCGGTCTTATCTGCCTGGAAGGCCTTTCCACCCTCGTTCACTAGGTGAACTCCTACTCAAACTTTAAGGCCCAGGCCAAATAACCCCCACTGCATGCCCAGCTAAATAACATGTCTTCGTTCCCGAAGAACCAGATACATTCCCCCACTGGGGATCTTGTTGCGTAGGATTACCCAGCTGTGTATTTCTGCCCCTCTAGACTCTGACCCTCGGGCTCAGTGTGTGTTCCTTGTGTTTGTTGTGAGCAAGGTCCCCAGGATACAGAAGAAGGAAATCCCTGGGAGCTCCAGTGTCCTGAAGGGCAAACAAACCAGGCCAGAAGCCTGGCCAGCTTGAAGGAGGGGGACGGGGCAGGGTGGAGGGAGTCAGTACTGAAGAAGGGGCTGGAGGAGCGGAGGCTGATAAATGGGGTCGCATCCAAGGGAGGGGCAGGAAACACCTGCTCTATCTGCCCTCCTAGGCCAGTGCTCAGAGCGAGGGGGCACTCCCCCCCCCCCGCGTGTGTGTGTGCGTGCACCCTGAAGTGGGGGGCGGGGGTGCAGCCACGTGGTGGCCTCTGCTAGCCGAGCGCTGGGTGGGGGCACGCAGCAGGGGAGGGGGGAATGGCATGGGCTCTGTTAGGGTTATGGATGGGGCCCGGTGGAAGGTGAGACTAGACACTGCCACAAGGGTGGAGTTTGCTGTCATTGGGGTGGACGTGAACCCTATGTAGAGATCTGGGGGACAGCCGAGGTTGGCCCTGGGACTGAGCTGGGGTGGCTGGAGTCCAGCCGGGTTAGGGTGAGAGGTGGGGAGGGTCAGCCTGAGGTCCTGGGCCGGGGTTGGGGCTCGGCCGGGGCAGCATGGAAGAGCAGTTAGTGGGAGGCGTTCAAATCAGGACTCCAAGTGGGGTTTGAGTCCAGGGCAGAGGAGCCGAGGGCCAGTGGGTGTCGGGGTTCGGTTTGGAATTGGGGAGCTGCTGGGGTTGGGTTGATGTCGGGATTGCAGGCGCTGTGGAGGCTGGTCAGGGTCAGGTTTGGGGTCAGGGTTGGGTCGGTGTGGGGCTCAGGCGAACTGAAACATAACTGACATTAAGGATGGGGCTTGGCGGCTGCTGAGGGCTGGAAGGGGCCTGCCCGGGCTTCCAGTCCCTCCCCTCCCCGGAGACAGAGGGGCTGAGGGGGCTTGGGCTCCTAACGCCTGCCCCCGCAGCCCCCGAGCCAGGCCTACCTGGAGCCAGGCCTACCTGGAGCTGGAGCCTGGGGGAGGGGTTGGGGAGTGACGTGGTTCACGCTGTGGGAAAGAGGAAACGGCTCCTAGGACTCGCACCTTTGGGCCCTGCCCTACTAACTCCACCTCCGAGGTCGGCCTGGGAAATGGGAACCAGCTCCCCTTCCCGTACCAGCCCCGGCCCAGGTGTGAGTTTGGGCGGCCTCCCCGCGCTCCTGGGTGCTGGATCTTGGGGCCCTTCCAGAACTCCGTGTCCACACCTGAGCCCCGAGGCATTGGCCCAGCACCTCCACACCCCTCTTCATTCCCTGTGGGCAGCAGGTGGGGTGGGGGTGCTGGGCCTCCCACATCCACGGCCACCTCTTCCGGCAAACTCGCTCCTCTGTAGCCTTGCAGGCGGGGCCGCCTCCGGCCCGGCCGCCCCAGACCTTCAGGAGAAAGCGCAGGCTCCCTGGCCTGGCCTGGCCTTCAAGGCCCTTCAGGGTCAGGCCGCTCACTCCTTCACCAGGATCCCCGGAAGCGCCCCGAGGAGCGGCCCGGGGAAGGAGGGCCCCCCTGTTGTCGGTGACAGTCCCAGCCCCTCCAGGGAACGGCTGCGTGACCTTTCCCACACTCCGTCTCTACTGTCTGAAAAATGTAGACAAGGAGTGGCTCTCCGGCCATCAGGGAGCGTCCCCTCCGGCCCCAGCGCCAGCAGGGTGGCTGGAGACCACCCCGCCTCCTCTGGCTGCAGCACCTCCCAACCTCTGTCTCCCCACTTGCCTCTGAGCTCCTGAAAGCAGAGCCCCGGGGGCTCACGGTGGGCACGACCCCAACTCCGGGCCTGGCACCTGCAGTAGGTGCTGCTGGTCCATCGCAGGTGGCCCAGTGGCCCGGGCCCAGCTCGGCTTCCTGGCGGGCCAGAGGCCCCGAGTGACCGCAGGACAAAAGGCCCAGGACGGAGCCCACGCAGGCACGAGTCTAGAGACTTCCATGCTGATCTGCGTGACCTTGAAGAGGGAGGGTGCGGCTCACAGGTCACAGCCTCCCCATCCTACTTGTAAACACGTCCTGGAGGGTGTGTGACATGCTCTGGTTCCTCCAAGAGCCCAGAACTGTCCGGGGAAGACTTGCAAGCTAGCTGGGGATCTGTGAGGAGTAACTGCGAGCTCCATTTTATCGATGGCTAAACGGAAGCTCACAGAAGCCAGGACTTTCCCAACGGCGCATGCGCGGGCGCCGGGTACGGTTGTCCTGGTAGCACACGGCGCGGGGCGCCCAGACAGCAGAGAGGTGGCTGGCTACCCGGGCCTCGGGGAAGACACAACTTTCCCCATTCATGGCCGGGTGCACTTGGCAGTAGCTGAAAATCCCAGAGCAGAACCAGGTCTCATCTCACGGGACGCCTGGGGGGCTCAGCGGTTGAGCGCCTGCCTTCCGCTCGGGGCGTGACCCCGGGGTCCTGGGATCGAGGCCCGCATCGGGCTCTCCCCGGGGAGCCTGCTTCTCCCTCAGCCTGTGGCTCTGCCTCTCTCTGTCTCTCATAAATAAATGAATAAAATCCTTAAAAAAAAAAAAAAAGAAGCAGCAGCAGCAGCCAGTTCTCACGAACTCCAAAGACACATTTCCTCGGTCCACACCTCCTACATCTCCTCCCGGCCCCAGCGCCGCATCTTGAAGGGAAGGAAGAAGACGGGAGCAGCTGCTGAGTCGCACCCCATGAAGTAGCTCCGTGGTGCCCACTTTACAGAAGAGGAAACAGGTTCTCGGAGGAGAGGGCCCAGCGCTACCCAGAAGAGGATGGAGTTGGACCTCGAAGGCCACTGGCCTGACCCGTCGGGGCTGGGCTGGCGGCCGGTGGGCGGGCTTTCCCCTGCGGCCCGGGGCAGGTGGCCAGAGCTCCCTCCGGCAGCCCTAGGCGCTCCGGGCCTTGGCCTCACCCCAGAGGCCCCAGGCCCGGGGAGGCCGCGGCGGGACGCCCACCGGGAGCGGCCAGAAGGTCCGCTGGGGCCAGGTCTGAGGATGCCTGCTGGATGCGGGGCGCCGACGGGGCCTCGAGTGGGGCCTCGATGGAGGGACACGGTCTGGACCCACAGGGATGGGGGCCAAGGCCGCAGGTGCACCGGTGGGGGGGGGGGCTCCCCGGGGGGCGGGCCAGGTAGAGGCAGATATGGGACCGGCTGAGAGCAGCAGGGAGAAGTGGCCAGGGGCCGGGCCAGATGAGAAGGGGGAGGAATTCCTTGGTGTCCACGCAGGCCCGACCCCGACGGGGGCCCGGAAGCCCACTGTCTCCCAGGCAAGTGACCCCAGGTTGTGGGCCCCTGGGGTGGGGGGGCCCAGAAGGCTCGGGAAGGGGAGGGAGGCTGAGTTGGAGCCGGAGCCACCTGCCCGCACACAGCCAGCTGCAGGCCCCTAGTCCTGGCAGGGACGGTTCCCACAGGAGGGCTGGGAGGCGCCCTGGGGCGGCAGGAAGTTGCTGCTCCGACCTTTGGGGGCCCTCTGGGGGCCAGGGCAGAGAGGGGCATCGCCCCGCCCTGTGACGTCAGCCCAGGCCGGCTCGGGGCCGGGTGGGGCGGGCGTGGTGGCCCCACGGAGGCCAAGGGCACTGGGCGGGTCGTCCGGCCTCACTCGCTGGCTGTGACCTGCTGGCTGTGACCCGGGCAGGGGCCCTCACGCCTCTCCACGGCACTGTTGGCGATGAACGGGACAATGACGCGACCTGCAGGGCAGCGGGGGCTTAGGTCAGATAACCCACGGGCACCCGCACCGGGCAGGGGCCTGGCGAGTGACGGCAAGGGTCACTCTACGAGAGGGGGGTGTGCGGGTCACCAAGGCCTGCTGAGGCGATGCGGGGCTGGGGCCTCCGGGGGAGGTGGGCGGCCTTGGGAGCTCGGAGGGGTTGGGGTCGGTGTTGGTGGGGTGACCTCTGCCATCCTGCCCTGGGAAGGGGGGGCAGCGGCTCAGAGGCAGCTCCGGAGCGGGCCCCGTCGGGAGGCTTACTGACGACACCCAGGGGGCTCCTTGGCTCCCCCTAGCATGCTCTGATTGGAGAGAAGATTCTGGGGCCTGGCCGCTGGGCTCCCTAAGGCCCGGTGGGGAAGGCCCTTCAGAAACTGGAAAGGCACACAGCTGGCGGCCGCGCGCCCTCTGCCGGCCTCTGCCGCTCATTGCAGCCTCGCTGCTCTGCAGAGTGACCAGGGCGGGCGGGCGGGCTGGGCGGCCTCCGTTTGAAATCCCAGCTCTGCTGTGGCTCCTGCTATCATCATCACCACCATCACCACCCCCACCGCCACCGCCACCGCCGCCACCGCCGCCACCGCCACCACCACCACCATCACCATCATTCCTACTACTTACAAGCTGGGAGGATCACTGGGCAAGTGTACGGCTCAGATTCTTCATTTACAACCGGAGCTTGAGAATACCATCTACCACGTAGCTGTTTTGAAGAGTAAATACGACCTACAAGGCGCAGCTGGGAGAAGTAATATTCATAGAGGGTAGCTGTGTTCTGTACTTCTGGGGTCAGCGTCACGTAGGGGCGCTGCTCTGAGTGGGAGGCTGGAGAGGGCCCTGCGGCCGCTGCCCGCCAGGTGTGTGCTCTGCACGTGCCGACTAGTCACCATCAATGGGAGGGAGACACACAGGGAGGTCGGTTCAGAATCACTCTTGAAAACCCTTTAGGAAGGAACCACGCTGGGGACAAAGACCCCGTGTCTCAATAAGGCCAACACGGCCAGTTTTTCCAAATGTGGGTTACAGTCTGCCTTTGAAGTAGCTGACTTGCAGCCAAAGGCCATGTTATGTAGAACACGGGTGTCTTCATCCACTGGGGTCGCCCAGTGACACAGGTGCTCACGCACACGGCACAGGGTGGCAGCCCCCAGTGACATCCGGCCTCAGGTGGCTATTCAGTACCTCCGTCCTCCCTCTTTGGCCACGTGTGTACGACTGCCCCGGAGGGCTCTTCTGAATGCACGCCGGATGCAGCTGTGATGTGCCCGCCTCTCTTCTGTAAAACGGTACAGTGACAGTACTGCAGCAAGGTTCCTGCGCAGGTCAAGTAAGACAACGTGTGAAGGAATTTTAAATTCCCGTTAAATGTATGACGCTCTCTACGACTCCCTTTCCCCAAATCTTCCCCTAGACATGTGACTGAACAAGTCACTTCCCTCTCTGGGTCTGTGTTCTCTACAGGAAGATGCAGGGGCTGTATGAGAGGATTTCAAAGAGCCCTTTTGGCCCGAAGCCCTCGAGATAGTCATGATTCTAGGCAGTTTAGATGCAGTTGACCCTTCGACAGCCCTTCAGAGGCACTGCTAATGACCAAAATTTACCTGTAATGTGTGTGTGTGTGGGGGGGACAGTTCCTCACTGCAAGAGACACACGTGCTGGTGGGTAGGCATTACCTCTGGCTTTGGGAAAATTTCCTTTTGGAAGGCAATAGGGTAAAAATGAAATGAGCTTTGGAGTCAGGCCCAGACTGAATCATCCCAGATCCTCTATTAGCTATTACAACTCAGGCAAGTTAACCTTTCTGAGCCTCAGTTTCCCCAACTGTAAAGTTGCAACAAATAGCTTTTTCTGGCAGTGATGTATGGGTTCAGTTAGAAATAGCAAGAGGCCCTGGGCAGGATTATGGGATTGGTAGGAAACCCTCCTCTGCTTGAGTTAGGCAGGGTGAAGCTTCAGGTCCACTTCCACCAGTACCGTTGATCTGCCCAGGAGTTAGCCTCTGAACCTGTTTCCATGTCAATCAAGTGGGGAACTCACCACTTATCTCATATGATTGCCCTGCTCATATGAGAGGTATGCTCTCATTATGGTGATGAGACCATAATGGTAAAAATGGTAATTTTTGGCAATGGTAAAAAAATTTTTACCAGCAAACCGTCCCTTCTTCAGCTTCCATTCCCCCCATGGTAGTCTAGCATCCATGCCTGGCTCAGAGCAGTGGTATAAATGGAAAAACCTTCTCCTGTCTGTTCAGGACCCTCTGAGGACTCAACTCCAGTAGCCCATGCTAGGCTGAGGCCTTCCTGGACCGCTGCCTCAGCCCTCAGCATAACCTAACTCCTCACCACCAGAATCTTGCCTTGCCAGGGCGCACCTTTGGAGCAGCTTCCCCGGGCCGTTCCCCTGGGCTGGTGTCCGTTGCCTGTCCCGGGTTAAGTCTGCACCCACTAAAGGCAGGAGTCATGGCCCTGCTGTCACGGGAAGGGTTGACAGAGTGTGTGTGCTCAGCCAATGTTAAGCTCCACTTTCACCTTTGGGTGGTAGCCCTCTGGGAAGGCACATCTGGGGGCAGGAACGGGGTCAAGGACATGGGGAGTAGGGGAATTTCTTGAAAGTAAGAGGATGGTGTAAAAGAATCAAGTGACCCGGATTCAAATCCAGCTCATATCACTTCCAATAAAGGATCTGGGTAAGCCACTGTACTTCTGAGTCAGAACCATCCTGGGAGATGAGGAGAACAGTATCTACTTAGCACAGCACTTGGCACATGCTGAGTGCTTTTTCATGGCCCAGGTACTGTTTGAAATGTTGAAATGCATTAATTTAATCCCACTACAACTCTAGAAGAAAGGTATTACTATCCCCTCATTTTGAAGGCATTCCAAATGAGGAAAATGAGGCTCAGAAAAACTAAGTCAGTCCCCCAAATTCACAGAGCTAGTGAGATATTCCTAAAGGCAGCAACGCATGGGACACAATCTCTAAGGCCGTAAGGACTGTCTGCAAGTTTCTGCATCGGGACTGGCTCCAGTCTTGCTCCCTCGATTATAGCTAATGACACAGGCCAACTGGTGTTGTGAATAGAGTTAACATAATATATTTATTTTAAGTGCCATTCATGCATATCAGTTCTGGCAGCCAACAATCCTAATGACACTTGGGGTATTTCTTTACAGCACTAAACAGTTACAAAGAATGGGTGCCGTTCATCATAGAGGCAAAATATGAAATCGTGCAATAGCAAAACTGTAGAAACATTAAAACACTGACTGTCCAACAGCAGTACAGAGAGCAGATTGTGTTTGCACAAAAAGCCAATGCATTTTCATCACATATATACAATATAGATATGTACACATCACCCTCTGAATGAACAATATCAAAATACTCTATTCCATTTGAAATAATCCCCGGATTGATTCCCTCCCACTTCAAAGGACATCTGAGAGACATGTATTTACAAGAACACACATGAATACATTTACATTTCAAAAACTGCCACAAATGCCAGTCGGATTATTCTCCTGGACAGAGTACCCCCCCCATTTGATTATATGCATTTATTATACTTTTCCCCAAAAGTCTTCAGTCAATTTAAGCCCAAGACAGAACTTGCTCTGTATTAACAACTACCAACTGAAACAGCCACTAGAGGGGATGCTCTGCACCTCACCAGGTGGCTCTGGCTGGCTGGAGCCCGCTGCAAAGGCCTGTCCTGGGCTCCTGGGCCACCTGAATCACAAGAGTGCAATGGGACTGAGTGGAGGCTCTGCCTCCAGGGCCATTTGTATTAAGTTTAAATTCTCATAAAAATATTGATCACTGCAAATCAGTAAATGATTGCCAAATGGGAAATTAGCTTCACAGAATTTGTAAAACCTTCATCAGTGGTTTCTACTCAAATCATTCAATGTAAGACTGCATTCTAATACCCAAATTGTTTAAAGTGCACATTGCTACCCAAGCAATTTAAAGTTTCAAGACAGCTATTTTGGTATCTAGAAAACAGTGACTTGAGCAGACTACTGAACCCCCCCCACCCCATTTTTTCAAGTTTTTTTTCTCTGCAGGCTGCTATCTCATCTGGCCTCTAATCCATGTAAGAGGGGCCTGTTGGTGGTCTTGCCAGAATCCTCCGATTTTCACTGATCCAAGGGGCTGGAACTGAGCTTCCATTTTCATGCCAAGCAGGGTCCAAACAACAGGAACATAAAGCCCTTCCTTTTTCCCCAACCTCACCAGCCTTTACTATGGCTGGCTTCCCAGTGATTCATTAAAGGCAACACTCCATTAAAAAAAAAAAAAAATACCCACACACACGTTGACAAACACTCTCACATACACACATACAAAAACAAAGATGTCTGTTTCGTTCAAGTAGAGAACACTCAACCACATTATCACTAAGGCTAATTAAAGTGATTTAAGCATGGCTGATAAAGAGACTAGAGATGCTAAAAAGCAACCAGTGAGCAGTTATTACTCCTTGATTTGATGGAACGTATCATTCCATTATAAATGAAAGAAATTCTGCCTTTTTTTATGGTCTAAAAAACCAATTCAAAACCTACTCATTTAAAAAAAAATCTCATTTCTGTTACTTTTATAAAACTGATTATAAAACTAAGACAATCCATGCAAAGTAACTATGATACAATATGAAACAAAACAAAAAACTAATAAAAACCCCAATGAGGCACACTGCATTTCAAAGAAAGTAACCCAATGTCATGCATACACAGACACACGGGACAAGAGAAACAGCAGACCACTTAAGGGTTTCTGCACTGAAGACTGAGGCAAATAAAATCTGTGTGTGGCTCTATCCTCCTTTCAGTGCTTCCTAAACAGAAAATGAGGAAACTTGCATTATACACAGTGCCCTGCTGTTCTATTGCCCAAATGAACTCTGATTTGAATTCCAGAAAAATCTATTTAGCTAATATGTCTCAATCAGCAGGAATGCTAAGATAGAGAAATATACTCACATGGTAAAATGAGCGATGATAAAGAGAATGACACAATCTGATTGTCTTGTCTGTAAACTCTTAAGAAAAACAATTCTGTGCTTTCAGACACCACACTTCTCCTTAATGAACCCAATATGAGCTGAGCATTCACAGAAGGTAGCAATAAATATTAAAATAACACTTTTGAAATAATAAATACATGGGTGACTATGGAGGCAATGATTTTGTTAAAGAGCCAAGCAATGCTCAGCTGCTAACTGATCAAATACATTTTAGAACTGTTCTAATGCAGATTTAAGAAAACAGACATTGACAAGGTACAACATAAACTCTGTAATCCCCCAACCATCAAAACAAATTTGGTCAGTTCTTTATGCTGCTCAGGAACAACATGCCCCTCTGGATTGTTTGGAGAGTATCAAACTCTGGGTTCTTTGACTTGCTGAGTTCAACTCAATACCCACATCTCTGAAAAAAGATTAAATAAGGGGAATTGGGTTTTGAAAAAATCTATTTCCTTTCAGTTGCCTACATCAGTTAAAAGCATCCTGCAGAAAATAGCCTAATGAGGAAATAAAAACTCACAGTAACTTTCTTTTCAAGACGTAATAATCCAATTAGAAAAATTGAAGCCTTTCAGTAATTTTTGTACATATATTTACACATATGTATCTATAAACTGCTTGCAGCAAAATAGGCTCTGTCTGAAAAATCAGTCTGGCACTTGTGGTCAACATCAAACTGACACAAATATGCAAAAGCTGTTCAAATCACACAACAGTTAGGAGCTACATAGGGCAGCTGGCAGGGAGACAAACATGTAGTACTTGTTTGGGTCAGATAAAAGCAGTAAGTTATCCAGCCAAAATCTTTTTGATTGTCTTCAAAAGAAATTTTGATAACATCGGTAAAGTGATTAACAACTTTGTTTTCTCAACTGGATTCTCTTAAACCTTTCCCTTCACTGCACAGAAAGGTGACGCTGGGGTCTGGTGCCTTGCAGAAACAAGCTCTACACAATTGAATCCCAATCAAAGTCATCCTGGATGTCATCTGGAGGCAGAGAACGTCGCATCTGGAAGGCTTGGGAAGGCATCATGTGCTGCTGGTTCATGGCTCCGTGATGGCCTGCAAGGAAGGAGGCAACGTTAGTAGTGACTTGGGTAGAGATAAAAGGAATTAATGAATGTCAGCTGAGCGCTTCTTTTGTGCCAGGCACTTGGTGCACATTAACTCCCTAGTCCACTCAGAAGCTCTCACTGAGGTGGCTCTTATGATCATTTTATAGATAGCAAGGCTTGGATTTAAAAGAATGGAACAAGTTACCCAAGGTCATACAACTAGGAAGGCGAATAGATTTGAACTTTGTTCACTTGACCTCCAAATACATATGCCTGTTTGGTTACTCCAGGAGGTAGCAAGGAGGGCATAAAAAGAATACTAGAGTGTCCAAATGCTGATACAACCCTCTCTCTTAGTCTGTCCTGCATCAATATATGTTCCAGTAACATGAACCGGCTCCCATGAGAATGGTAAAAGGGGAATGATGTCAGCATACCAGTGATGTCACACTGGGTCATCCTGAATTCTCAGCAAGTTAACTTTTGTGCCACCAAGTAACAGTGGGTGAACATAGAGGATATCAACACAGCTGAATCCAAGAAGCCATGGTGGACCAGAGTGAAGAAATAGAATGCCCACCCTCTCCACACTCAGTCTTCTTAGATTAGTGTGGCTGTGTGCAGCTTGTCCTCTCCCAATTTTGGTGCATTCTGCCCTTGTCTCCACAGCTTTGTCAAGCCCGATTCCAAGCCAGACTTTTTCTCTTAAGTGATAATTTCTATTTACTTGCAGAATTCATTATTTTATTAGGAATTAAACATATGCTGTTAGTGTTGTGGAATTTTTACTGGATTGTTGCAGTTTTTGTTTGATTTTGCTTGATCTGATTACAAAGTTTCAAGCAGTCTGCTGCTAATCTTATTTTACTTATAAGCCCTGTATATTTTAATGCACCATTTTATAAAATGTTAAGGCTTTCAATATATCACAGTGTAGCAGAAATGCCTGTATTTATTTTTTGACTTACTAATTTCTTACTATGTGCCAGGCACTAATTTAAGTGATTTATGTATAATCCTCGTTTAATTCTCTTAACAACCCTAGGAGTTAGACAGTGTTATGAGCTCCCTTTTAACAGACCAGGAGGTTGAACTAGGAGGATTAGGCAGCTACCAAGCAGCAAAGCATCAGAACACAAACTCTGGGAAACTAGTTCCAGAGTCTTAACTACAGTATCATGCCACCTACAGGTTCCTGGTGAGCGCTGAGGAGAGAGAACACTTATTCCTGCACATTCATCAAAGTACAGGTCACTTGGCCCCAACTCCTCCTTCACTACTGCCTGGCACACGCTTGTTGGGGGTTTTATTTTTTTAGGTGAGGGGGTTTTAAATTCACACCTGCACATGACCTTTCTGTTCCTCAAGCAGCCTAAGTGGAGAAAACAATGAACTCTAAATCCAATTATCAAGACTCGAGTCCTGGTTTGTTCCTTTAGCAAAACTGGTGGCTCTGGGTAAGTTATCTCCACTCCTGAGCCTGAATTTCCTCATCTAGATCCTCCTTAAGCTCCCTTCCACCTCTACCCGCATGCCTGCCTTTGCTGCCCTGATAAATGTAACTTATCCAGCATTCAGGAACCCAGGGGGACACTTATGAACTAGTGACTCTTGCAACTTACCTCCTCTGTAAGAGACATCCTTAGAAACTAGAGCTGGGGGGGGGGGGGAGGATATGAGGAGAATGAATGGAGCAGAATATACAGGAGCTAATCAAACAAGTTCTTGAAGCCTGTTCAAGTCCTGTCGAAGTCAAAAAGTCTCAAAGATGCCTAAGACCCCAGGACAAGCCCTATGCCCCTGGACCTCTTTAGAAAGGCAAGACAATTATTAAAATCATAACATCAAAGAGACTTCAGGTCATATGGTCCAAATACCAAATGTCACTTAATTCCCCTCACCCAGCACTAAAACCAAGTAACTGTGCACTGTCACCCCATCCTCCCTTACCAGGGAGTTCACTCCCTCCTGAACAGCCTCACACTGGGACAGCTAAGGTCTTTTTTCATACTACACTCTGAGTACCAAGTGCAACACAACGCACCCCAAATTACCTGCAATTGTCGTTCCTGGAGTGCTGAGTGCCTGTGGGATGTGAGGGTAGCCAGGGGGCGGCATCACTGAAGGAGGGAGATTTTGCCTGGAGTCTATGTACAAATTTCCTAATCAGATTGAAAGGCAGAATGAAGGAAAACAGACTTACATAAATAAAACAAGTCAAGCATTAAGATCTTAATAAAATTGTTACCTAAAACTAAACTAAGCAGGTAAGGCAAGGAAGAAGAAAGAAAAATTACTTCTTTCAGATGCTAATACCAAAGGTGGTGCCAGGCTGAGTGTTAGTACACTAATGCTAATTATGGCATTGCCTCTTTGTGTCTGAAAGCCTGCAGGCAAGTCATCTCTACTGCTGCTGTTACACTTCATAATAGTTCAAAAGCATTTTCACATCTACGTTATCATCTGAATCTGAGGCTTCCATTCAGTCCAAAATGAGGGCAAGACAGGGCATATCCCCATTTTATGGATGAGGCAACTGAGGCACAGAAAGAAAGACTAAGCTGACATGCCCAAAGGCACATCAGTTTGACAGGGCTAGCGTGAGCATCCAGTTCTCCTGGATCATGGGCTCTAAGAACCACTGTCCCTCTCTCTTCCTTACTTTTTCACTTGCAAAGAAGACCTATATGTGTGCCCTAGCTGATTAACAAAATGAATGAGTAGAGGCACAGAGTGACAGGAAAGGCTTGCACAAGTTTAAAAGAGCTACATCAAGTAAAGCTGATGAAAAATGTATTATTTAGAAGTGTGAAGGTGGGAAACAGAGATCTCATTTGAATGGCATTTCTGAAGGCTCTTAATATATTTTTGTCGACAGGAGCCATTAAGTGTAACAGCTCTAAAATGTCATTTATGCTGCATCCTAATGCAAAGTAGAAAGGGAAGGGAGCAAATATCATATGCTACCCCCAGCCCCCCATTACTCCTGGGGAAGAAGAACCATAACACTGGCTCACACTGTATGGAACATCTGGAATTCTGGAAAGGCTATTTCTCCCTTAGGTATTCTACTGTGTCTAGAATTACATATTACAACTGCATTCTAGCAATGCTGTAATCAAACTAGAAAACAGCAACCATTTCCCAGAGGCAAGTAAAAAGATACTCAAGGTAGGAACACTCTATTTGGCTGCTCACAAGTTTTTACCTGTCAGTGGAATTTCAGACTGTCCAGGCTTAAAATAGCCTCTGAGACAGCCTAATTCAGGCCTCCCTCTATTCATGCAGATGAGGACATTAAGACCTACAGAGAAAATGCGACAGAACCAGGAACAGAAAACCCTGCACTTCTGAATTCTAGCCACTGCCTCCCAAGATGACATGCCTTTTTATAGTAAAGTTTACAGTCAGAACTAAGCTCTTTGATCAATTTACGTAAGATTTAGGAAGAAAAGAGAGAAAAGTTATACTAAATTGTAGCTCTAGTATATTCTTAGAGGAAAAATAAAAAATAAAAAAATTTTAAAAATCTTAAAAACAAAAACAAAAACAAAAGTAACCTATGATATCTCAGTCTAGAAAGAATCCAGAAGAGGTGCTTGGCCACACGCACACGGGACAGCAGATGGTTAGTGCTTTTTCCATGACCACAAATTCCAAGTTCCAAAACCAAAAGGTACACTGGAACTTACTTAAAAATTTAGGTCAAAAAATTGAAGAAAAGCATTACAATTCCAGAAAGGGGAAGCCACTGGCTAACATATACCATGGCCCTTGAAATAATCTTCTCTTAAGACTGACCCACACATCCTTCTATCGGTCTTCCTAGAACTTCCTGATCTGCTGGAGGCAATAATCTGTAAGCAACATAGGTACCCACCCCCCACCATTAGCATTTTAAGGCTGGCTGAGATGATCTGAGATGATCGGCAGAGAACATGGCAGCACTTAGAAGAACTAACTTCATTATTTTGGTTGAACAGGGAAAGAAAAGAGGAAAGGAAAAACAACCAAGGGACAAAGGACAGAAGGGACAGTACACCTCTGGGATTTAATACAAGTTGGAAAAGTGAAAGTATCCTGAAAGGGAAAACTATAGGTTTGAAACCTATCAGATGATCAAAAGAAGATAAGCCATCTCTGTACAAGAAGAGATAAAAAGATGAAATGGAAGAAAGCAAATCAGTGAAAATATACGGCAAGTTATACAGATCTTGATATTTAAAAACAAATATAGGGAGGATTCTGAGAAGACAGTAGAGTAGGTAGCACCAGGAACCTCTCTTCCAACCTAGACAAAGCTACACTGGTAGACTTTGTCCAGTACAACAGAAAACCCTAGAGCCTTTGGAACTTTGGAACCCTGGAAGTCTGCTGACAGTTTACAATTTGTAGAGGATGGCTTAGAGGATAAATTGCAGTTCGTTTTGGTCAATTTCAACTCTTAGCCCAACAGCCATCACCTATCCATCCATCTCTACTGCATGGTAGGCAGCTGTGTACATGTTCCTGGAACAACTAACACAGCTTACAGGAGGAGCCAATGTGGGCTAAAAGGCCATTGTGCTTCAACTACTGGGGACCTGTGCTCTGATCACAGAGATGCAGACACAAAGGAGGGTGGCCACTGTTGCACCTTCCACCAATGCTGCAAGCTTGTCCCCTCCAACTGAACTGATTTCCAGAGGCTTTAAAGGGGAGCTACTGCCTCCTCTCCCCCTTCTTTTATTTTTCCTTTTTACCCTTCCAGGAGGCAGAGAGTAAAAGCTAGGACACTGAAAAACAACTGCATATACTGAGAAAATTAAAAAGTGACCACCTATGCCAAGAAAAAAAGCAGACTCAGAGAAGACCTGAGAAGACGTTAGAGCAAACCTTAGCACAAGGATACCTTGCAGCCATCAAGAAAACAAAAACTGGAGACAAAATAATTAAAAAACAGCAAACCCCAGGGAAGGGATAGAATTTGGTTTCTATAGGTACCACTTTATTAGATTCAAGTGTCTAGTTTTCTTTTCTTTTTTTTTTTTTTTAAAGATTTTATTTCTTTATTCATGAGAGACACAGAGAGACAGACACAGGCGGAGGGAGAAGCAGGCTCCATGCAGGGAGCCTGAGGTGGGATTCGATCCCGGGCCCCAGGATCATGCCCTGGGCCAAAGGGGGCGCTAAACTGCTGAACCACTGCGGCTGCCCAAGTATCTAGTTTTCAACAACAAACTCACAAAGCATACAAGTAAACAGAAAAGTATGCCCTATTCGAAGCAAAAACAAATCAACAGAAAAAGATCTTGAAAAAGATCTGATGGCAGATCCACTACACAAAGACTTTAAAACAAGTGTCTTTAAGATGCTCAAAGACTAAAGGAGATGTAGAAAAAGTCATCATTACAATGCATGAATAAACTGAAAATATCAATAAATAGAAAACCTAAAAAGAAATAAGAAAGAAATTCTAGAACTGAAAAATACAATAATTGAAATGGGAAAGAAAAAAAAAACAGGATTCAAAGGAAAATATGAACAGGCAGAAGATAGAATCAGTGAACTTGAAGATACGACAATGAAAATTATCAAGACTAAGTAATAGAAAAAAATTAAACAAGAGACTAAGGGACCTGTGGGACACTATCAAGCAGATCAACTATGCATTGTGGGAGTCCCAGAAGGAGGGATGGGACACAAAGAATATCTGAAAAACTAATGGCTGAAAACTTCCCAGATTTGATGGAAGAAGAATGGCAATATCCAAGAAGCTCAATAAACTCTAAATAAGATGAAGTCAAGGGACCCACACCAAGGAACACAGTGTAATCAAATTTTCAAAGCCAAAGATAAAGAGCCAATCTTGAAAGGAACAAGAGAGAAGTGACTTGTCACACACAAGGGAACCTCAGTAAGATTACCAACAGATTTCTCATGAAAAACAAGGAGTTGGAAGGCAGTGGGACAATCTAGTCAAAGTGCTGAAAGAAAGTGTCAACCAAGAACTGCTATACCCAACAAAATTTTCCTTTTCAAAAGTGAGAGAGAAATTAAGACAGTTGCAGATAAAAGCTAAAGGAGTATGTTACCATTAGATCTACCCTCCCAAGAAATGCTCAAGGGAGTCCAATAGAGTGAAATAAAATAGACAGTAATTCAAAGCTGTATGGAGAAATAACTCAATAAAGGTAAACACACAAGCAATCCAAAGAGCTAGTATTACTGTAGCAACAATTTAGAACTCCACATTTTCTTTTGTACATGACTGAAGAGACTAATATATTTTCTAAAAGTGGTTAGTCTGGGCAGACCGGGTGGCTCAGTGGTTTAGCGCCACCTTCAGCCCAGGACGTGATCCTGGAGACCCGGGATCAAGTCCCACATCGGGCTCCCTGCATGGAGCCTGCTCTTCCCTCTGCCTGTGTCTCTGCCTGCCTTGCTCTCTCTCAAATAAATAAAATCTTTAATAAATAAATAAATAAAAGTGGTTACTCTAGAAAGTAGTATTATTAAAACTTTCATTTGTTAACTCCACATGTTTTTTATATAATTTAAGAGACTAATGGATTTAAAGGAATTATTAATACAGGTTTTGGGGCACACTATGTAAAATATGTGACTTTGTGACATCAACAACCAAAAGGGATGGAGATGGAGCTAATAAAGGAGCTGAGTTTTTTATGTTATAAAAGTTACACTGATATAAATTCGAATTAGAGTGTTATGACTTTAGGATGGTAAACCCAATCCCCATGGTAACTACAAAGAGCTATATACAATAAACACAAAAGGAATACGAAAAAATTCAAACATTTCACTACAAAAAATAAGCAAAACACAGAGGACTACAGTAGTGCAAAAATTAAGGGACAAGAAAGACTATACACACACACACACACACACACACACAGAGCAAAATGACAAATCACTCCTTATTGGTAACTATTTTAAACATAAATGGGTTAAATTCTCCAATCAAGAGAAATTGGCAGAATGAGTAAGAATAAGAGCCTCATTTTAGGACCAAAGACACAAATAGAATGAAAAGTGAAAGGATGGAAAAGGCAACCAAAAGGAAGTAGAGACTAATATCAGACAAAATAAGACTTTTTTTTTTTTAAGACTTTGTTTATTCATTTGAGAGAGACAGAGTGAGTGAGAGAGAGCACAAGTCAGG